ATCCGTGAACAAAGCATACTCTTTTTTTTTTTTCCGGCAACTTACGTTCTGTATGTATCCGCGGAGTTCTGCCTTGATTGATTGCTACTTGTTCCAGGTGCTTGTGTTCGCCTATGGCGGCACGGCACGAAGACCTTCACCTCTTGGCACCGCTGCCACCACTACCACCAACAGCAACGAGAGCAATACGTGCACCACCGGTCACACCCAAACAGTATCAACGTCCGCAACAACAGCAACAGCAACTCACCGTTCTGTTGGCGTGGCCGTTGTTGCCCATGTCCTCCATTGCCATCCCGACAATGTAGCCCAAGCTACAGGCGGGGCGCATGATGTCTTGCGGCACGTAAGGCGGCAGCGTAGAGGGGGGGTGGTGGGCGTCTTCCACGGCGTCTCGGGCGCTTTTCATCAGCGTAAGCTGGAGCCCAACATCGAACTCCATAGACTGGTGGAGGGTGGCCACGATGTCCTGTGCCCGGTTCGGTTAAAGGAGAATTGGGGTAGAACAGCAACGTAAATAGCTGATGAAAACGTCACCTTCGTTTCGAAACAATGCAGTCTAGGCAGGATGATCTCAACGCCGATATTTTCTTCGGGCGTTTATCCTGGCGAAAGGGAACATATATTTGCACGCTTGATGTGTACTCTTCTCACCATGTTCGGGAAGCCGTTGCGGTTAGCCCACGACACGTCGAACGCGCGAGCCACGATGGCCAGCCCCCGCTTCAGATGAAGCCCCAGGGAGTCTTCGTTGCATCCTCCCTCTACGGTCCCCGTTGCCAAACCGCGCACGTCGCTGAGGATCTCGACGATGCGTACAGCCTGCTTGATGCCGAAGTCGTCGTCACCGTCGTCGTTCTCGGGGAAGCTGGCGTGGTACCCCCAGCACTTCTGCGTGGTGATGAGGAAGAGGAACACGGCCTCGACGTACCGCTGCAATGTAGTGGGAGGGCCAAGGTGCATGTGGGGGGGTGGGGGGGGGGGGTGTACTCATAGTCGTGCATGCCGTAGTCGTTTGACCATTGACCTCGCATCCCTACAAAGCCGGGACGGAGCACGCCGGGTTCTCACCGGACCAGGCTCTCACATCACCAAGCGCGAAGCGCCGTGAGGTATTTGGCGAGTCGCATGAAGGGTGAGCTGCATCCTGCCAAGGGTGTTCGGCATCTTGTGCTTACTTCCTTGCGTACGGATGACAGCTACGTATGACTTAATTTATTTTCTGGTGCTTTCACTTCCAGAGACAGTTGTAAGCACTGTGTAACTGCCTCGAGGAAGCTTGACCATTTTAACACAACGTGGTGCGATCATCCCCCGTTGCGCGGAGTAAGGGTTCTCGACCCCGCACAACATAATCTACTCGACCACCATTATGGTTACCGCCAAAAAAAAAAACCGAGGTTAAAAAAAAAAAACGGTAACCTGGTTGCCGAGTTCACGAAGTGAGTTGGCTTGTTTTACAACGTCGTTGTCAAGCGACGAAAACCCAATCCCGATGGCAAACACCGAGTGGGGGGCTTGTTTTACAACGTCGTTGCCAAGCGACGAAAACCCAAACCCCGATGGCAAACACCGGGGGGGGGGGCTTGTTTTACAACGTCGTTGCCAAGCGACGAAAACCCAAACCCCGATGGCAAACAAGGCCGAGGGGGGGGGGGGGGGGGACCCCTTTTTTGGTTGCCTTAGTCATTTTACCATTGACCCCCCCCCCCTTTTTAAAAGGAAAACTCCCGACCCCCGGGCCCCCTTTTGGGGGGGGCGGTCTGGGGGAAAAAAAAATTTTACAAAATTTTTAAAACTGGGAAAAAACACCCCTAAAAAAACAAGGGGCCCCCCCCCATTTAAAAACTTCCTTCGGAAAAACCCCCCCAAAAACTGGGTTTTTTCGGGGGGAAAAAAAAATTTTAAAATTTTCAAAAAATGGCCCCCTAATCCCGCCAAAAGT